TTGAATCACTGGATGTGAACAGTATGAACTTTGAATTATTTTATCCCGTTATGATTTCATTCAAAAGAACCAAGCAGACAACTATAGGTGTTCCTAAATGCACATGGAATGCTAAGTTCAGAGAACAGACATTATTAATTATAGTAGATAAGTTACTATTCATCCTATATGGTTAGACTGGAATACTGTAAATGCTAGAAGTGGTGTTCTTGTCATACTATAAGACAGGGGTAGCAAACTCAAGGCCTGGCGGGATCCGGCTCACAGGGTACTTAGATCTGGCCCACGGGCCTGCCCTGGAAATAGCAAAGGATCAGCTTGTGGTGCCTTTACCAGCAAAAGCGGAGCTTGGAAGGGCTGTCTATGACCCTCCCAACTCTGTTTTCACTGGCAGAGGGTTGCAGGAGGCTGTCGTAGCTGAAAATGGAGCTTGTGAGCCCGTTTTCTCTGGCAGAGCGCTCAGGCCACCACAGGTGTCCCCGACATGGGTGATGTCGAGAGCCATGCCCACCCCAGCCCCCCAAGTTCAAACACAACCCTCAGTGAAATCGAGTTTGACAACCCTGCTATAGGAGAATCAAGTAGATAAGCAAATCATCATCACTGCCCCTTCCTCTTGTTGCTTATCGATATATGAAGGTAAGCATCAGATAAAAACTTGAGAATCCTGTGGCAAATGGGGAAGTGTTGGAGATCAAAACGAGCAGAACAGAACAGTAAGGGACCTTGGTGGTCTTCCAGTCCAACCCCCTGCCTAGGCAGGAAACCATTTCAGACAAATGGTGATCCAATCTCTTCTTAAAAATTTCTAGTGTTGGAGCATTCACAACTTCTGGAGGCAAGTTGTTCCACTGGTTAATTGTTCTAATTGTCAGGAAATGTCTCCTTAGTTCTAGGTTGCTTCTCTCTTTGATTAGTTTCCACCCAGTGCTTCTTGTTCTACCCTCAGGTGCTCTGGAGAATAGCTTGACTTCCTCTTCTTTGTGGCAGCCCTTGAGATATTAGGACACTGCTATCACGCCACCCCTAGTCCTTCTTTTCATTTCTTATGCATGCATAGCCCTGGATATAAAAGCCTCGTTGTCTCCATAGTTATTGCGGATGCTTGGGTTATTGTGGTTGACAGTGGAGGTTCAGGAAACCAGAGGTGGATGTCTTGAAAAAACATTCAGAACTGTGCAAGGAAGAGACATTACAAACCATTTGATGGTGCAGACACTGTCTCTTCACCTTTTTCATTTCAAATACTGCCTGTTGTGGCTTTTGCTTACGCGGTACTGTTTCATATTTCACCTCTTGAAGCCTTGTGAAAAAGGAAGAAATAAATAAAAGTTTTAGGAAGGAAAAGTAACAGAAGGTCCTCCAGTTCGTGTCTGGCACGCAAGATTTATTGGAATGGGTAGAGGTGAAAGGAAACACTTGTTAAATGAAAACAATACATTTGTATTAACAGCAAACATCCCAAGATTCATTATCTATAAAAATGATTATGTGTTATCTGGGATTTTACCATATCTTGCATCAGGTCCCCATTGAAAGTTATCCTGAATAATTTAAATGTTCCATTAAATGATTTCTTATATTTTGATTCCAAAATGTCAGAAAGTGTTTCTTATTTGTTTTCTTTTGTGTCTAATTTTGCTCTTCCTAGTCATTCAAGTTTGTAGCGTTAAGCAATTTATATCTGTCATCATTTGAGTTATTCAAAACAACTGGGAACAGATGTAGGAATGTGGCTATCTAGATTGGTAAACCATAAAGAGCTCTCACTTTTACTTTGGGGAGGGGGCTAGTTCACTAAAATGAGGAATGCTTCTTCCAATATCTTTTACCTCTCTCTTTATACCCCTTTGAAATATACAATAAGAAGATTATTTCCTTCCGTCTCCTTTAGAGTAGAAGAAAGGATTCTTATCTACATTTTATCAAAGTGTGTGCAAGTATGGATTATAGGCGGAACATAAAAATGCATCTTATGAATGAGTGGAATTAAGGAGTGTGAGAAGAGCATTATCTTTCACAGGGTGGAGGGCAAACATACCTCTGGGCGTATTATGTTCCATAAAGAAAGGACCACCACTGAGAAGTTAGTTTTTCATGGTCCCACCAGATTTTCACCCCTAATCGATGGGAGCTGAAACACGCCTTGCCTTCCCATCTTGGTGGTAGGTTGAATGGATGTAGTAGTATATGAAGCATAAGCTGTTAACATTGCTTTTATACTGGATTGGGGAGAATTTCCAGGTTTCTGAAGAATCCTTGTTCTTTTGTTAAAAACTGGGATGACAGAAGGAGATTCAAGAGCTAGGTTGAAGAAAACCGAGCTTACAATTGGTTTTTCAGATTTCTTAATAAGTAGCATTCTTTTCTAGTTACCATGGCTTTGCTGTGCTAACTTTGAGACAACATAGTTGAGGAAAGAAGAATAGAAGATACTGAGACGAGATAGTGTGTAATGCAAAATGGTTGCATAAGGCCAGTATCTTTCAACCTTATCAACTTTTACATGAGTTGACTTCAACTCCCAGAATTGGAGTTGGCTGGGTACTTCTGTCAGTTGATGTCCACCCATGTAAAAAGTTGATAAGGTGGAGAAATACTGCATTAATGCAAAAACTGGGGAACCCTAAGAGAGCATATTCTGGTTTCTGTTCCTTGGGATGAAAGTATCCCTAATGTGTTCCTGCCAGCAATCTTTTATATATATAAAAGTGAAATACCACTCATGCATCATCACAAAATCTCCAGAACCGTAAAGCCTACAAACCTGAAATTTGGCACATATGTTCCTCTTGGCTTCTAGGTGCTCACTAAGAAAGGATGTTTCGAAATGACCATCAGAGCATTAGTATTCCCTATCTGGAAGGTGCCAATATGGAGAAGACCTAGACCAGGGGTATCAAACATGACTTCATTGAGGGCTGCATCAAGACTGTTTATGAACTTGGGGGGCTGGGGTGGGAGTGGCCAGCTCGACATCACAGGGTGCCTGTGCTGGTCCGAGCACTCTGACTCCAAAGCTCTGTTTTGGCTGCGATGGCTTCCTGCAACCGTCTGCCAGTAAAAATGGAGCTGGGGAGAGCCACCTGCAGCCCTTGCAAGCTCCATTTTCAGCTGGGATGACTTCCTGCAACCTTCTACCAGCAAAAACAGAGCTCGGGAGGACTGCATGCAGCCCTCCCAAGCTCTGTTCTCACTGACAGAAGCACTACGGGTTAGTCCTTCACTGTTTCCAGGGCAGCCACACGGGCCAGATCTAAGCACCCCGTGGGCCAAATCCTGCCCCCGGGCCTTGAGTTTGACACCCCTGACCTCTCTGTCGTGGATTTTTTTTGCTTTAATGGCTATTAGCAGATACAGAAGATGGTATAGTCCATTGCTCAAGTCCATACAAGGCATGCACACATGGTTATTTCTGAAAAATGGATGGATCACACCTAAAATGGCCAGGTGTTTTAGTACAGGTTGGAGGAAAATGGAACTTTTTGAAATTGCATGTGTCTGGAATGGATTGTTTTGCAAATGTTTGTCTTAAGAGATTTGCTATATGTATGAAAATGTCTTCTGTTTTCCCCCCAAAGGTTAGTTCTCCTTGTTAGCTGTCTGGGTCAACAAAATTGGCTCATTTTGTACTTACAGCTGTAAATTAGACTCCATGCAGAATGACTCCTAGCAACAGCCTCCTGTTGTGATTCTATATTTTGCTATTAAAGCTGTTAGAAGTCCTGAATTCTAGTTGCGTTTAAGCCAATCCTTTATTCAACCTCGTTTTCAAAAATGTGGTTGTTGGAAAAAAGAGGGGGTACTTGAAATGTTTTTTCTCATGTTTTTTGTTTTTGTTTTGCTTTTTGTTGTCTTTATAATAATGATATTTTCAGTTCAGTCTTCACTTTACTGTAAAGTTTTCTTTTATATATGTTTATGTGTTTCTTTCCTTCTTCTTTGTTTTCACTTTTTGTTTTTGTCGCCTACTTAATTAAGCATTGCAATGATCAAAAACTCAGTTGCTTACGGCCAACAATTCTTTCGATTTTGCTTTTAATGATAGACATACTTGAACACATTTATTGGCTGCAGTGGTCTTTTAAAAACAAGTTTTCTACGGTTTGCTGTATGCAGCTGAATACTCTGAAGCTTGACAAATAATAATTGCTTTGTTACTTTTATTTTTTTACCTTGTACTTACTTTCTCTCTCATTCTGTGTCTGAAAATAGGAACTTACTCCTAATGATAGAAAAACAAGCCTTTTAGATTCTAGAAATATTTCACTTCCTTTTCCATTTTCTCTGGTGTACTTTGGTCTTGCTTGTCCTGATAGAAATATCTTTCAGATGGCATAACATCATTATGTTTCCTATCTTGAGAAATCTTCTTTGCCCTCTAAACTGGTGTGAACTGGTGTGAAAGGGTGCATTTAAGACATTGGTTTGGGTTGTTTTTCTCTCTGTGCTAGTGGCTGGCCCTGTCTTCTATTATCAAGGCAATCATACTTTTTCTTGAAGAATTGGCGTATTAAAATCACCTAGGCAACCTGACCAATTTGAGATAAGCAGGGCCAAAATGGATCACCCAACCAATATTCTTGAAATAAACTCTGTTGATTTTTGAACTTTCATTTAGCAATTTCATTTGGAAAACAAATTTGGATTCAGTTGTGAACTTGATGGACTGATGTGTGTTTTTGTGTGAATATTTAGCTTAAATTTTGTGAGAATCATCAATGGCAATTAGGATATTGGACCACATCCCAGTTACATGCCATCCAAAATTTCACATGTACCTTATGTAAAACTATTGGAAAAAAGAATTAACGTATCCTAAAACCATTGAAAATGAAACAGGGCTTCTTTTTTTAAAGCAGTCCCCATTTTAGAAGGCAGCCAAAATAAATCTGAGAAACCCCAGGTGTGAAATAGTGCTCTTATGAAGCATTGTTTGGATTCGGTTAAAATATCTGGTTTGGGCTCTCTTTAATTTTCTCATGTTTTGTTTTTCTCAGGATCCCGCAGGCATCTTTGAACTTGTTGAACTGGTTGGCAACGGGACTTACGGGCAAGTCTATAAGGTAAGATTTATGTAACTTCTGGGGAACCTGGGTTTATATGCAAAACATTCCTTTGCTTATCCTTTTATTATGTTGGGTTCTGAATTGTGAAGTTCTTTCCCTTTTTTTCAAGCTTTTTTACCACCATCTGCAACGGTATAAAATGGCAAAAGGGAACACAACAATGTCCTTTGTTCTTTGCATAATTTAGCAAATAAGGAAACTTGAAGAACATGGGGGGAAAAGGGTTCCTAAATTGATGCGATACCCTACGGCTGATTCTTGATAGTGTTTGCGTTCCAGCAACACTCCACTCCACCCAATAACTCTGAGACAGACATGTCTTGAAGTTCCTTTTATAATAACTGGCACAACTGTGGAATCCCAAATCTGAAAGTTCCAGGTTTCTTTACAATAAGTAAAACTACAAAATCCATCCCCTGCACCCACCCTCACATCATATGGCCCAATCACCATCCTTCCCCAGTGAAGACTTCCTCTCCGTTATGCGCAACACGACCTGACTTTGAATCAGAAAAAGAATGTTATTATGTCTAACTAGATATATTCCAATTTATTCCCACCCCCCACCCCCCACTTTCCCGGGCTGAGATGTGGCAGCGTGGGAGTATCTGATCTCAATATGGCTTCCAAAGCTGACAGTTTAATTTGCTGGATCCCAACAGAGACAGCCCATATGTTTCTGAAAAGAATGAAAGATAAATCAGAAAGACAATCTTCACTAACGTAAAGATTACCTCCTGGGTTGAGAAACCCTCACAGCTTTCCAGCTAGTCTGAAGAAACCTGTGGTATGACTTGTCCCCCTTCTAGTCCTTTCACCTCTATCACTTATCAGAAAACAAAGTTTGACTCTTCTGTGGTATAAGGAAAGCAGAACCTCAGGACTATCAGCTTGAGGAGTGTGAAGGTATTTTTTTTTTTGAAAACAGTTTTATTGGTTTTTTTTAACAAACAGACAAAAACAGACAAAACATAAAACCATCAGCTCTCTTCCATACTTATATACAAACAGTGTGTCGGCTGGTTCATCAGTTTTGTGCATTCATTTCGTAGTCTCAATTACAGTTATGTTACATAATAACTCTTATTATCAATCCTAACTTATATATCCTCATATCATTATTAAAAAAAATCATTTGACTATACTTTTATTCATTCATACTTTATGAGATAACTATAATTTAAGTAATTTATTCTATAACAAATCATATAATCATGCCAATTCTATCCTAGAAAAAGCACTTTATAGATATAGTATCTAGTAGCAAAAGAAAAAGAAAAAACACAGATATTCCTTATTATCTAACATTCTAAGTGTTCTATTGTTGGAGGAGCGTGAAGGTATTATTGTAGCTTCGCCAAAGTGGTAAGCTTGGTTTTAGAATATTCACCTCCATGGCCAGCCTGTTGGGATAATGAGTTTGTAATCCAATACTGATGGAGGGCATTGCATGGCAGAAGTCAGGGTTAACAACTACCCTACATGCCATCTGGTAATTTCAGTTGATAAGATGCTGAGATTGTATTTCACGTCAAATTCATGTCAATTTAATTATGAGTGCAGTTGCAACAGGGAGGATACTTTGATTGGCTTCAAGTGACAGGCTTTGTGAACCTATGAAAAGTTGTTGTTTTTTACTTGTTAATTGCTTGTTCGTTTTTATGATTACAAGAAATGCTGTTTTTATGATAGGCCACAAGCACCATCTCTTGGGCTGTGCCGCCCTTTATAATCTCTTGAAAAATCTTGTCTTTCACACAATGGTATCAGTGGTAGTATTGGACCAGTTCAACTGAACCGGTAGTAAAAAGAAGCCAAAGATCTGCTGAGAAAAGGGAAAAAAATCCTCCCAGAATCAGCTGAGAGGAAAAAGAAGAGGAAAGCGCAGGATTGGCCTTCCCACCTGCCCCTGTGGTTTTCTCTTCTTTATTTTCTCAGCTGATTGGTGCTGCAGGTCTCAGCTGGTGTGGCGAAAGCCGCACTCTGGCTCAGGCAAAGCAGGCCCACCAAGCCATGCCCACCGAACTGGTAGTAAAACAATTTGAATCCCACCACTGATTTGGTATCCTTATATCTCTTGGACTATAACCACATGGACCTGATGACCTGTAGTCATCTGTGGATAGTCCTTGTTTAACGACGCTCACTGGGATTGTCAATTCCATCAATAAGCAATGTGATTGTAAAATGCAATATCACAACATTGTTCCCACTTAACAACGGCAGTCCGAGCAGTCCAAACTAGAGATGTTAGATGAATCCTACCCTTGTTAGGCACCACCGATGACCTCCTGTTTGTTGGACACCAGCACAAATGGTGATCATGTGACTGCAGGGTGCTGCAACTATCACAATTGCAAGATGGCTGCCCAACGCCCAGATCATGCTTATGTAATTACAAGGATGGTGCAACAATCATTTTACAAGGATCAGTTCTAAGTCTTCTTGTTCAGCACCATTCAAGCGTTCACTGAAAAAACTTATTAAACAAAGGCTACCTGTACAGGTAGTCCTTGACTTACAATCATTTATTTGGTGACTGTTTGAAGTTACAACGATGCAGAAAAAAGTGACTATAAGACTGTTGCAGCATCTTCATGATTGCATAATCAACGTTTGGGTGCTTGGCAACTGGCATGTATTTTTGATGGTTGCAGTGTCCTGGGGTCATGTGATCACCATTTCTAACCTTCCCACTGGCAAAGTCAATGGGGGAAGCCAGATTCACACAATAACCACATGATTCACTTAACAACTGCAGTGATTCACTTAACAACTTTGATTTAAAAAAATCACAAAATAGGGGTGCAACTCACTTAACAATTGTCTTGCTTAGCAACTGAAATTTTGAGCTCAATAGTCCTTGTAAGTCAAGAACTTTCTGTACTATATTTGGAGGGAACCAGTTTAAGGAAAGATTGGAGAATTAAGATTTGCAAGCAGAAATTCTGGGTACCCTATTATTTTATTTATCCTTGGGAGATAGGGTATAAAGAAAGGAAAGGATAAATTTGAGAATTTACATTGCATGAAATTATTATTGTATGTGGTTTTGAAATTATTCTCATATGTGGTCACTCTCTCACAGGTGAAGCATTAGCAAATTTGGAAATGGTACAACTGAGACTGCCATGTTGTTGTTGTTTTTTTGTATTCCTATATTTAACATGCATAAACATTCATTTTCTTGCTTCCCAAATCAAAGGAAAGGAAAAAAAAATAGAATTAGCAATAGGAAGGAAATATTTATTCTAAAATCTGCTTTCTCTATTCTTGTGCAGCTGTGTGCTCATCTCTTCAATAAGCATGGTCAAAATTTCCTCTGAATCAAGACTGGAACAAAAATTTCTATATGTTTTTGGAAGTGTGAATTTCCAGAATAACACCAAACCTTTGCTAAAATTATAATCTGCCAAAAATGTTTTATTAAAAGTGATTGGCGCAGGATAGAAACTGTTTGTCTTGATTTGCTGAGGCTCAATGCAGAGAGATGTCTAAATGGTTTCATTCTATTGACCACATAACTATGGTGTTAACCTAGTTTTAAGTATCTAGTTAGTACTAATAGCTCCCGACGGAAAATGTGACAACATCCTTTTTGAAAGCTTAACGTTTCAAGCAAAAAGCACAATAAAAATGTTTCATAATGTTTATAGGGTGATCTTTTATATATATATTTATTTGCCATTTTACTTCCTGCTGGAGCTTCAATTTATTGCAATACACTTGAAAAAGTCATTTTAAATATTAGAAGCAATGCATTTATCATTAACAAAAATGTTAAAGGGGTTTTCAAGAAGGAAATATTTGTATTTTCCCAGGTAATCTGTATTTAGGCTTCAACAACCCAGATTAATGGATGTTCAGGCAAAAAAAAAATGCTACAGTAATATTAAGGCCTAGCAGCCTGTTTGTATATTGAATTAAATTCAATAGTATTTCTCTGAGTTCTTTTCTGTTTCTAATGCTGTCAGGAGACATTTTGAATTCCTTTCATTTATTTGGTTATTTATTAAATTGATACAGCTGCTTATCTCACTACCATGACTTATAAGGTTTATAAGGTTACAAATTCCCAAAACAGTACAGAAACAGCTAAAAAAAATCCACAGAAATCATTAAAGAATAAAACTGTTTAAATCCATTAAAGCACAATCTGCTGGGCTCTCTGCCCGCCTAGATATCTAGAAGAGGGGTTGCTAGTAGAGAGAGTTGATTTGAATTGAGCATTCTACTCTCCTCTCCTCTGTCCTATCCTAACCCAATCCTAGCTCAGTCCTAATCCAATCCTAATCCAATCCCAATCCAATCCTAATCCAATCCCAATCCAATCCTAAACCAATCCTATTCATGGTGCAAACTTTTTGAGCAACCATCAACTTTGAGAGGAAAGAAAAAGAAAAGTCAAAACCTGCAAAAGTTAGTGGGCCACTTTTCTTTTCAAAATTCCCCCTCAAAGGGTATGGTTTTACCATCCAAAAGCCAAGGAGGAACTGGTTGATTCTGGCTAATTTGTATGTAATCTCTCTGCTTGTAAAATCAGTTACTATTTTAGCCTACCAATGGTTTTTTTAGTTTTCCCACCAACATCTTGGATATAATAGAGTTGAATCTGGAGTTTAGTTTACCAGTCCATTACACGTCGCTTTGTGAGTGAGATGGGCAATAATTAAATTTTATATATAAATAGGAATAGCACTTAGACTTTATACCGCTTTGCAGTGCTTTACAGCTCACTCTAAGTGGTTTACAGAGTCAGCCTATTGCCTGCAACAATCTGGCTCTTCATTTTACTAACCTTGAAAGGATGGAAGGCTGAGTCAACCTTGAGTCTGGTGAGATATGAACTGCTGAATTGCAGTCAGCTGGCAGTCTGCAAAAGTAGCCTGTAGAGAACTGCACTCTAATCACTGAACCACCAAGGCTCATAAATAAATCATTTTTTCCATTGCTGTTTTGTTAATAGATAGGGGCAAGAATATATAGAGTTGTTAATA